GTGAGTGTTTGTTTTGTTTATAATTCTCTCCACACATATACATCTATACATAAACACTGTAAATAAACTTCACATAGTATGACTAATAACCACATGCCTCCTGCTTGCTCTCGTGACTAACAGCAGAGGCAGCCTCTCGTTCACCTGAATGCCTCATCTCGATAGGTCACGCCCTGACGATGGCACTCTTGAGCGGAGACTGTCCGAGCCATCTGCAGTGTCATATGCAAGGGTCAAACGAGGTCACTTGCGGTCGCGGCTTTGAAAAACGAGTCTAGTTAATTAGCGAGGGTGAACTGATGCCCACTTAGTTGTGAGTGTAACTGAAAGGAGTGATTGTTTAAGGGGTCGTGAAGGTGAAAGGGTGTACGTGTGCACGATACTTACATGTGTACTTCATATACACATGTACTGCATGTTGCGTATGTATGTGCTGTTTTTTTTCTTTTTTTTTTTCATAAACTACTCATGTTGCAGGTCCATCTGTTTTCAGATGGACATGGACAGATGTTCTTGTTTTTTTCTCTCTCTCTCTTTTCATACTTTTTTTTGGGGGGGTTTACTTGTATGCCATTGATTCTGCACTTATTTGAATTTATCGATACTAATACTTCAAATATTACTTATGCAAATATACACCAAAACCAGATATCACTTTGTCACACATCCATCAGTTCTTGGACGATGGATCTCATTAAATCCTAAATCCCACCCTTATGTCTCCGTTCCTCCCCACCCCCTTCCCCACATAACTTCTTCCCCCCCTCCCCCCTCCTCCTCTCTCTCCCACGAGACGAAGGCCTCTCCGGCAACTTCCAATTGTCAAAGACAGACGGAGACGCGAGAAAAAAAATCGTAGAAAAAATAGATTGTTTCGTCCGTCGTGGTAAGTTAGCAATAAATTGAATCTCACTTGACTGTAAAAGGGAAATTAGACTCCTGTGACGTAGACAAAAGGAGTAATTTAATGCGCCATTGTCACATTAGCCGCGCCGGATGCTTTGCTCTCTTAGGCTCTCTGTGTGTCTGTCTGTATCTGTCTGTCTGTCTGTCTTTCTCTCTTTCTCTCTTTCTCTCTTTCTCTCTTTCTTTCTTTCTTTCTTTCTCTCTCTCTTTCTCTCTCTCTCTCTCTCTCTCTCTCTCTCTCTCTCTCTCTCTCTCTCTCTCTCTCTCTCTCTCTCTCTCTCTCTCTCTCTTTCTCTCTTTCTCTCTTTCTCTCTCTCTCTCTCTCTCTCTCTCTCTCTCTCTCTCTCTCTCTCTCTCTCTAACAGTTTTAACCTCCTTTCTATTTTATAAGATTATGTAAATTATTTGAATACAAGATTATCATGCCTTACCCCCCCCCACTCACACACACACACACAAAATTAAATCTAAAGAGTATATCCATCTTTACATATATGAAATTCTAATTCTAAACAATTATACGACCTGATTCTCCAATTCAATTCAGCTGATGATTGAAGACAAAATATTTATACCACGTGAATTACAATCAACTACCTTGAGTTCATCTACGCCCACTTTTCGTGATTATCTTGACCTTACTGATAGGAAGAAAGGGGCTGATCTTACGCCCATGGAGGTTGAACTCGGGTTACGGGGGCGTGGGGTTGCAAGGGCGTGCTGTTCATTAAGGTGAAAGGCGACAGTCAGCGTAAAGGTTTTCGGTTGATGGATTAGCAACAGTTCGGAGCCATACAGTGTTACGTGACTTTAGCGTTACGTTATTCTCTGTGGTAAGGATTGAGTTTGTTAATTAGCAGAGCTGTCAAAAAAAATGCTTGATTATATTTGTTTTATCTATTTATTTATTTATTTATTTTTTTCATCTGATATTCTTTGATTTTTTTTTCTTCTCCGAAAACGAAAGTAGGAGAGCGAAAAGTTTTTTTTTTTTTTTTTTTTTTTTTTTTTTTTAGCAGAGCGAGGAACGAGATGAGGTTCGAAATGATCGAGCTTTGTTTTGTTTTTTTTCTTTTCGAAAGCTTTAGGAATAGTGCGAATAAGAATTGCCGTTGTTTTGGCGCTGTAGGATTGGAAATAAGTGTCGGAAGTCTCGATTTTGTTTATGCATCTATTTATTTATTTGTCTGTGTATGTATTTTGAGAAAGACCTTTTTAAATCACAATAATGATGATCTTTATTTATTTATCTATTTATTCATTTATTGATGAGGACCTGCTGTGCGAATAAGGGAAGCTTCTGATTTGATATGAAATTTGGGCGCCTTCATTAGATGAATTTGAAATAATCTACCGCTCTTTTGTTCAACTTTGTAAATAATAAACTCCGAAATTCATTTAAATCAATTGGGTAAAAAAGGAGTTTTTTCCCCAATATACTTTTAGATTTTGAAAGTATGAATATATATTTGAAATACGTATATATCTACCGGTTTGGGGGAAGGGGGGGGGACGTATAGGAGGGGGGGGGTTCAGTTTTAATTCTGCGCTCGCACGGAATCTCTGTCTTTCCAAAAAAGGAAAACAGGGGGAA